TTTCAGTCTTATAGTACGTGAGAATCGTTATGGTTACTATCAAGAGAACTTGGACTATGACCATGACGATTTCTACTACCATTGCTGTTGCTAATTCCCTTGCTATTCCTATTCCTATGACGGTTAGCATTACCATACTGTTGCAATTACTATTCCTATTTCTATTACTCTTACTCTTACTGTTACTGTTATGACTACGATTACTATCACTACTACTGTTACTGTTACTGTTCCTATTATGGTGGCAGCCGCAAAGTTGGAAGATGCGCACCCAAAATTTCAGCACCCCACAATTGGAATAAGACACATCTTCCAACTCTGGATTCTTCCAAGTTTGCAACCTTCCAACTTTTGATTACCGCATGAACCGCTCCAAATGCCGGGACCTAAAGTTGGAAGATGGGACCAACCAGACCCAATGTTTAATTGCAGTTTCTCCGTTTCTTTCTCTACAATACTGGAGTAATTGCAGTTTCTCTCCCTCTGCAATACTGGAGCTGCCATGGTATTTGCAGCTTCTCTCTTTCTGCAATATTGGAGCGGTCGTAGTAACTGTGCAACACTGGAGCGGTCCTAGGAATTGCAGTTGTTTCTGTCTGCAATATTGAAGTGGTTGTAGTATTTGCAATTTTTCTCTCTGTGCAATACTGGAGCGGTCGTAGTATTTGCAGCTTTTCTCTCTCTGCAATACTGCAGTGGTCGTAATACTTGCAGTTTTTTTCTCTCTCTCTCTCTCTCTGCAATACTGGAGCGGTCGTAATAATTGCAAGTTCTCTCTTTCTGCAATACTGGAGCGGTCGTAGTACTTGCAGTTTTTCTTTCTTTCTGCATTATTGGAGTGGTCGTAGTAATTGCCGTTTCCCTCTCTCAGCAATGCTGGAGCGGTCGAAGCAGTTGTGGTTTCTCTCTCTGCATTACCGGAGCTGCTTCCCACAAACCGGAAGTTGGAAGATACCGTTACCGCATCAACCGGTCCAAATGCCGGGACCTGAAGTTGGAAGATGGGACCAAGTCAAACCCAAAGTTGGAAGATGCCGTTGCCGCATCAACCGTTCCAATTGCCGCCTTCCAACTTTCCGGCGGCTACTGTACTGTTACTGTTACTGTTCCTGTTTTTATTACCATTACGGTTATTGTTACTGTTGCTATTACTCTTACGGTGACTGCTGCTACTCATACTACTATTACTGCTACTCATACCATTACTATTAGTATACTATTACTATTACTGTCACTATTACTATTACCATTAGTGTTACTATTCCTGGTATGATTATCACTATTACCATTACCATTACCATGACCGGTACCAATACCACTGCCGTTACTACTACTAGTATGAGTACTTGCGCAGGACTAGGACGAGGACGTGGATTAGGACTAGGAGTAGTATTTGTATCAGTAAATATCTTCGTATTCGTATTCCTAGCAGTATTCGTGCTAGTATGATTATGGAAATGGTTTCTGGTATTTGGGAGCCAAAGGCGCTGTGACAGAGGCTTTCATGCTTTGGCCCTAGGGCGGTGACGATCCAACTCTGCATGGCTTTCTCCTTTGGCTATGTTCCGCACTGCAACGGCTCGCCGATCGAAGAGCTGTCCGGGGAAAAGTCTTACAATTGGAAGCACCTTGTTTATGTAAGGCTGCACCACCTCGTGCAAACAGTCTTGTGCTAGCAGTCTGCTGTCTTAAACGTCAGTAGGCTCTAAGCGTGAAGGCTGACACTGGAATCTGGCGAGAGACAGGCCCAAAGAACCCCGGTGAATCCCAAATCTGCATCCGGGCCCATCACCAGGCTAAGCTCCGCAAGACGCTGCTCGAAGGAACGCTTGTTCTCCTCGCACCTGGCAGGCGAAAGGAGCTTCGCCCCGCTGCGGCCCGAAACCTGAACCCTAAGCCCGAAGCCCAAAGCCTCGACTTGAACTTCAACCATACAGGGGTCGTTGTCAAAATTAGGGTCCCTTTTTGGGTCCTTATTGCAATACGGCACCTAATATTTAGAATTTAGGGTTCCCAACAAGGGACCCACCCACACATGGGAGCTTGGAGGTGTTGAAGATACGGCAGACCCGGCTTCCCCGAACCCTGGCCCTGAGCCCAAGGGGACCTGAGCCCTTTTGGCTGCGCTCGGCGCATTTCGGCGATGCCACTACGTAGGCTCCACCGAAGTCGTGAGTCTCTGGTGGAGATGCTGCCGATGTGAAGCGAGATCCACTCGGAGTCACATCCGGCAGCCTAAACATCTCTGGTGAACTATAGGTTTATATACAATGAGGCCCTGAGCTTCTCATGAAGCCCTCAGCTTCTCATGAAGCCCTGAGCTTCTCATGAAGCCCTCAGCTTGTCATGAACCATGCTTTGCTTTCGATTGTTGAGGCAACACCTCTGAAAAGTGCAGACCCGTGAATGCGGGCAGTGGATCCAAAGGGTATGCTTTCCGTCCTTCCCCTAGACCCTAATATAGGGGCCTCAAAAAATTAGGATAGGGTTTTTGAGGCCCATTATGCCCATTATGAGAAGGAACCCCCAAAATAGTATAGGTAATTATCTAGGCCCCTATATGAAACCCTAAACCCTTCACCCCTCTGGTCCGACCCAGCATCCGAAGATCTAGCACAACGGCAACCACTGGCAAGACAGCTATCCTGACCTTGCTGTGACTGCCGGACGGCGAGATTCTGCCATCTCATGGCCCGACATAAAACCATAAAAACACCCTGAGACCGGCTCAGGACATAGCATAAACAGTTTTGTTTCCAGCGTTTCTGTACACCAGCCTGCCCACCAATCTGCCTCTCCCCTAAATTTCGAAAAGCCAGATCCAACACAGATAGACACGAACAAACACACTTTCTGCGACTACCAAGCCGAAAGCTCACGCGGCAGGTGCTAGTTTGCAAAAGCGGCTCTGCCGGCACACAGGGTGCCTTGCCAAGTGGAACAGGTCCGAAGAGCCAATCTCCCGAATGCCTCGATAACAGGATAGCAAACCTGAGCACTGGACACCCTGTGCCGAATTCTGGCAACGGTCCGTGGCGTTGCAGCTCGATGTTTGACAGCAGTACACTTATCCGAATATGGACGGACGTCACCCGAAGCACTTGGCCAGGCAAATCAGTGCAAGGAAAACCAACCCAAACCACGCAGTTGACATCTGTCTGTTTCCTTACCTACCTTTCTATCACATACCCGTCTTGGTGCATGGGTGCGTGTACGTACGTATGCTAGTAATTGTGTGTGTGTATATGTCTGCATGGCTGTGCATGTACGGGCTATGCACATCTGCATTTGCTTGTACATATGTACCGGTTTACATGTACATGTACACAGGCATATGCACAGTGCATATGTGCGTGCGTGTCAGGAAATATAAAAGCTGTAAGTAGTTCACTGTAGTTAGACTGAGGGGGGATGGAACTGTCACTTGCTCTCGCTCTCTCGCCATCTCTCTCTCCCTCTCTCTCGCACTCCCTCTCTGCGTTCATTATGAAGATGTGACTGCACAACTGGTTTTGTCCAGCATCTTCGCACCTTATTGCTCTACCTAGCCATATTTTGTTCCTTGCTACTGCGCAGAACGGAAGAGTTCAGCGCGGTGGGACTTTATCCATCCCGGCAACAGGAAAGGCTTTGATCTCCCAGCCCTCCGCTGTAGACAAGTCTTCTCGGGGGGAGCTTCAGCCAGACCTTTGCCAAAACTGCGGTGCCGTCTGTCCTTAGCTGCTTCGGGGCGTCTTTTCAGCTTCCATCTGTTGAGGGGATAGTGCTCTGGTCAATCTTACGGCGATCGCGCATGAGCTGGCATAGAAGAACCCAACGCTGTAAATGACTGCAGCGTCGTCTGCTGTCCGACTGTTGCATTCCGAGCCGTCACGATAAGAACCTCCGCAAAGTCTGTGCCCCGCTACCGCCGCTACTATTGACTACCGTGTACCACTGCTACCGCTACTACCGCCACTACCACTGCTACTGGTACTATTCCTACTACCACCACCACTGCCTCGCCTGCAGCAGTATGCTGCCACGACCAGCACGACCTAGTGTTCTTTTCCATTGAAACGATTTACCTCCTCTTCCCCCTGCTTTCGGATTATGTAGGTCGGCTGTACAGTAACATCTACATGAAATATGCAGAAATGTGCTGCTTACTGCTGTTGCTTCCCTTGCGTAGCTACTTGAAGCACGTGCAAAAGATTACAGCACTAGTTCCAGCACACCTGTTATGACGATGCCTCCGTCGCTTTCAAGTGCAATCCAGGAGCCTATCTAGAGGACGCGCGGACTAGCTCGCCAAACGCCGAACCTCGGAGACGAGGTGGTCTAAAGCTTCAGCTGGGGCTGTGCTTTCCTTCTTGTATGGTTTAGGTTTTTCTTCCTTCTTGGAACGGTGTAGGGTTTTTTCTTTCTTGGAAAGGTTTAGGGGTTGGGGTTCTTTCCCTCCTTGGGAAGGTTCAGAGTTTAGGTTTGCTTTCATTCTTGGTTGGTTTTCTGGTTTAGGGCTTTTTCGCTTCTTGGAAAGGCTTAGGGTTTAGGGTGCTTCCCCTTCTTCGTTCGGGGTGCGCGTTCCATATCTTAACCTACTTGAGATGCTTCATGTCTCGACAGTCTGGACCAGAGTAACGGGAGTGTGGGGTGCGAGCCGCGATGGAGTGCCTCAGGCTTTGCCAAGGTTCCCAAGAATATCGGACGCATGAAACCTCATTGAGCTTAGTTCTTTTGTCCACAAGCCCTGAAATCCTGTACTGGTTTCGCGAAACAGCCATTCTGCGAAAGATCCAAGGTTCAGCAGTCCATGCTGCTCACTTCATCTTGTCAATGGAATATGGGGCGTTACAACTGCCTCAGCAGCCATCCCAGGCCCTTCGAAACGTTGACGCTACACCCTCCATAGTAAGTAAGCTTAAAACAGAGAGCCTAAAGGACTCCCGCGCCCTACAACTCCGGAGATCCCTGACTCCCACGTTGTGTCCCCAGCCCCCACCCGCACCTGCTGTCAACTCTCACGCGGCAGCCACGTGATCCTGAGCCACTTCTCAGTCTGTCAGTCCGGTCGCGGCGTGTATGATTATTAGCATTATTATTACTACTATTAATATTATTAATAGTTATTAATAGTTATTAATATCATTATCAATATCATTATCAATATTTTATCAATATTATGATTACTAATATTACTATTATTCTTATTCTTATTCTTATTCTTATTCTTATTCTTATTAGTAGTAGTAGTAGTAGTAGTAGTAGTAGTAGTAGTAGTAGTAGTAGTAGTAGTAGTAGTAGTAGTAGTAGTAGTAGTAGTAGTAGTAATAGTAGTAGTAGTTATTAATATGACAACACTTGGCTCTTTCAAGCTCCAAAGTCCAAAGCACAGAATTACAGCTGAATCTCCCTCTCTCTCGCTCTCTCCGTCTGTCCGTCGCTTCCTTCGTTCTATCCGATGGCTGGAGTGTTGAGGCCTAACGGATCTTCGATTTAGGAGGCCTATCTGTATATCCGAGCTTCGGATGCAATTTTCGGGCGGGGGGGGGAGGCAGGGGTGAAGGCCAAAAGCCCTAAACCCATAAGCCATGATTTACTGGGTTGGTTGGCCTTTGAACACCATGAAAAATATTAATGTATAGGGCCCCTTATGAACCCAAATAAGGAAAATAAAAATTGTCCCAAAATCCGACCTAATTTAGGTTGCCTCCCGAAGCTTCGAGGATCCGGGTTGATCTTGAAATCGGGCTGGGGGCGTGATCTGCCCTGGAACTGACTCTTCAACTCTGACGACGGCTGAACACAACATGGGTTCTACAGTAAGGTGAACGAACATTATATATATATATATATATATATACATACATACATACATACATACATACATACATACATGTGTACATATTCTACTTACTTATCTGCGTAGTTGTTTTAGCTTCTATCTATCTACATGTTGGAACGCCAGAATTCGTTCTAAGACGCATCGGACTTGGCAGCGACAAGTTCTTCCAAAGCAGAGGGGAACAGCTCGAGGACGTGCTGGAACCTCGGCAAATAGCATGTGGGCTTCGGGTGGACTGAAGTGAAGGCTCTCTGCGAAACTGGTTGCCGTATCTCTAACGGCAGCAAATCGCAACCGCGGCGACAAAAAACCCGTATTTTGGCATCAGCCCAGCCTGAGATTGGGGTGTTGGGTTTAGTCATCTGCACAGCAGCAAACAACTAAAGCGTCAAGAAACAACGGTGCTCCAACACTCAAACTGGTCAATGCTCACTGGGGTGGTATGGGGTGATGCGCGTGCTGCTTCGGTGTATGAGGAATGCGGGAACCCGGCGAATGCTGCCATTGCCGTGCGGCTGCGGCTATTGTTGAGTCTAAACCGTCATTGACGAAGACAACGAGGACAGCAGCTACTACGACGATGACTCCTACCAACACAACTGCGATTAGTTTGCCACTGCCGCTGCTATTACCCTTCATGTGACGTTTCATGCAACTCTTTCCTTCTGTGTCGCTATCACTATCGCGTGGTGATGAGGAGGACGAAGAAGAGGGAGAGCAGGAGGAGGCGGAGGCAGAGGAGGACGGCCTCCCGCGACGACGATGTTCATCGCTGGCTTGTGCAAGTTTGCCTTTGCTTTCACTATGGACCTCCCAGCTCTGGGGTCCTCTGCACATGCCGTTTTCCGGCTCTTCGATTAGGAGCTGAGTTTGCCATCCTAGAGACCCTTACCCGTCCTGAACCCTAATTGGACTCATGCTGAAGCCTACATCCCAGGAAACGGAAACAGAGCAAAGCCTCAAACCTTCCAAGCAAAACTGCATGCCTGAAAACCCCGCCACGCATTCAAAAACTGAGCCCACAATACGCTCTAGATCGTAAGACCCTTACTACTCACAGACTGCAAGAATCTGGAGAAACAAGTCAGAAAAGTGTGTGTGAAATCTTCATCCCCAAACCCGACACCCCTCGCCCCAAAGCCTTACCCCAAGCCGCTAACCCCAAAACCCTGAGCCCAAACCCTGAGCCCTTAAACCTCCAATCTCTGACCCCTAACAGGGTTTAGAGGTTTAGGGTTTTGGGTTCAGGGGTTTAGGATTTTGGGGGTTCAGGGCTTTGGGTTTCAGGGCTTCCCAAACACTAAGCTACCATCTTCCGGGCCACTGTCCCAGCTTTTCGAGGTGCCGCTCATGGAGGCGACGGTCTGGCTGCTTCATCGAGCAGCCATCCCTGGCCGTTAGCGGGTTTAGGGTTCAGGTGTTTAGGAGTTAAGGGTTTAAGGGTTTAGGGTTTAAGGGTTTAAGGGTTTAGGGTTTAGGGTTTAGGGTTCAGGGGTTTAGGAGTTAAGGGTTTAGGATTTAGGGCCTTCGGGGTTTAGGGCTTAGCAAAGAAGCATGAAGACGAAAGGAGTTGAAGGGAAATTAAAGACTTTCTTTGAACGCCTTGTTCCGTCTATTAGACTTTGGGGTTCAAGGTTTCGGGGATTACAAGGTGTTTAAAAACTTCACCCTTGATACATAAACCCCCAAACTAAACCCGAAACCTCAGTCAGGCATCTTGGCTTGGGACGGGGCCCTGTGGGACAGGTCCTAAACCTTAGAATGCCCGACGGCTTTTGGTCTAGTCTTTGCTGCCATGTTGCGCCGAAGTGAAGGCTGACTCTCACATCCTAATGTAGGAACCTCATTAAGAAACCCTGGGCCTTTATTGGGGTGCCTTACATGAATCCTACTATTTTGGGGTTACAGGCCCGGGGTTTCTTCATCAGGTTCCTAGATTAACAGATGTGTCGAGCGCCAGCTCCTCCTGTGGAGAGTAGCGTGGCTCGGCAGCAGAAGATGCCACACACATGGGATGTTTCGAAAAATAGGGGGTACCTTATTTTGGGATCCTTATAGTAAGGATCCTACTATTTAGGGTATTATATTAGGGTCCCCTATTTGCGGAAACCCCCATACACCCCCCTCCGGCGTCCAAAGCGGCCACATGGATGCTGTGGTTTAGGTCCCGATTTACGAGGCAAGCTGCCTCAGTGAGTCGACTTGCACCATCCAAGCGCCGGCGACTGAGGTGTGAAGCCCTAAGACGCAGACGAAAGCGCTGCAAAAGAGTCAAAGCCTGTAAGACACGTCAGAGGCGTTCGGGTCTCTTCCCCGGACTTCCAAGCAACAAAGGGCGGGTGTCTTTGATGGGCTTGGTACTTTCACAATGGTCGGGCAAAGGGTCCTCCGCAGTTTGTTTTGCAGGGATCGCGATGCAGCACAGTTCCACTGCATCCATCGAGAACGGACAATCAAGACACTTGCACATAGGAGAAAGTGGCCCAGACCGCGAGCTCAGAAAGCACAGAGTTCAACCCGCACAGCTGATGCACAGAACCAGGGCCCAGAAAAGAATCGACCGCGAAGTCCCATCCCGAACCGCATGTTCAATCAAAGACATGAAGCCTCAAGCTAGTATATGCCCTCACAAGCAGAAGACCAAATTTCTTTGCTTCCCTGATCCATCAATCTTACCCTAACCCCTGAACCCTAGACCCTAAACCCCTAAGTCCCTAAAACCTGCCTGCTCCAGGAGGACGAATCCCAAGAAGACCAACTCAGCTGACTCAGTTGCTTGTCCATAGGACACTCCCAGGCCTCTTCTGGCTTGAAGGGGAGTTAGGTCTCAGGGTTCAGGGGTTTAGAGTTTAGGGTTTAGGGTTCAGGGCTTCGGATTCGGGGTGTCGGAGTTTAGGGATGCGGGGTTCATTGGGGCTTAAAATCTGAAAGGGTTTGGGCGCCATGGCTTAGGCTTCAGGGCGATCATACTAAGTTGTGACACCGGTGGTCTACTGCTTTGTTGCCATCCTTCCGCTGCCAGTAATGTGTTATGATCCCGGATCATTGGTGCACTACTGATGTTGTACGATAACCTGACGGCCAACGCACAGTTGCCTCGCAACAACTGTTCGGCTACCACATCCAATGACTACGTCTACGTGATTCCACACAACTTCTGAATAAGCTGTCCTCGAGGCCCTTTGAAAATTTACTTGCTATTATAAATTATGGTTCTCTACAAAATAGTAGGGGAAATTGAAGAAGATCCCAAAGGACAACCCAGCTGAATAAAACTATACCGGGCGACGACAGTATGCCTCGACTACACCCGGGGAATCTTGGGAGCAGTGGTGTGTGTTTTTACAGGGTTCTTACATGGCACCCTTTGCCGATAATCTGCGTGACTTGAATGAATAATTCGAACAGGGGCCCACTATACTGTGTGACCATACTTATAACTGACCCTGAACCCTAAACCCTATACCCTTATAGAATCCCTATAGATCCCTTTAAAGGGAACCTTTAAGGAGCCCTTATATACCTACCCCTGAACTTCCAAGTTCCCTCTCCGAGCCGGCCTCTACGGTCGTAGGCCAAGGCTGCTGGAACTTGTGTGCGTCCCTGGCAAGCTGCTTCCTGTTGAGGGGTATAGCGTGTAGGGGTTCAGGGGGTTCAGGGGTTTAGGGGTTCTTTAGGGTTTAGGGCTTCGGGTTCAGGGTTCAGGGGTTTAGGGGTTTAGCTTTGTATATAGGGGTTAGGGTTTAGGGTTTAGGGCTTAGGGTTCAGGGGTTCAGGGGTTGAGGGGTTCAGGGTTTAGGAGTTTGGAAGCCCATGATCTTCGCTCAGTATGTTTACACGCGCCCAGCCGTGGATACGGGACATCACTCCCCGACTTCACTCTAAACCTCGAGTCCCACTCGTCCACAAACTTCGACTTTCACAGCCTAAACTGTTCGATTTCGTATGCTCGTCGAGGAAAGCCGGAAAATCCTAACCCTCGGTCCTTGGAATCGGTCCGATCAGCGAATCGAAGTTTGGGCAAGGGCCATGTCTCCCTTTCCTGCGAGCGCGCATCGCGATGCTTATGGAGCCCTTAATGAGACCCAGTAACCAGGGGAAAAATCATCAGTAATGATAACCCCAGTTGAGGTACTTACGATTGTACTTACCAATAGAGGCGCCTTAATACCAGAGTAGGGTTTTTAGGGTTTTTAGGGTTTAGGGGTATATTATACTATAACAAGGAACCCACAATGGGCTTCAAAGCAGTCTGATGAGCGCGGCAAAGTAAACCACATGACTGAGAGTTCCGATCTTCGTGAAGTCTTCACAGTTCCTGGGTTTAGGGTTTAGGGTTTAGGGCTGGGTTGGTTTCTCTTTTCACGCAAAGCTCCTTTCGCCGCTGATGTCGCCATCAGACACCTGTGTAGAAAACAGTGAGCTTCAGAAAACACCAAGACATCCTCACGGGCTTTGTGGTCAGGGTTTGCAAGTTAATCTTTAAGGTTTGGGTCTTGGGGGTTTAGGAAATCTGGGGTCAAAGTTGCACTCCATTTTTGGGCTTGCGAATCAGCCGCGGACGTGAGCCGGGGACCTATGTAAGGGACCTGAAAATAAGGATCGGCGTACTTAGGCATCTATAGTAGGGTCCAGTGGTTGGGAAGGAAGCACCAACAGAAAGAACAACATAGGAGCCACGTGACTGCTTCTGAAGGCTTCGATGCCGTACATCTTGAAGGCCTTAATCATTGCCAATACTATTTCGGGGGTCCCCTGTTATAATTGGAGTATAACGGACCCCAAATCGCAGAAGAACATCCCCAGAACCCTAAACCCTAAACCCTCACGAACTGCAACAGCATGTTCTTATGATCTCTGCCAGCTCCGGGACCAGATCCAGTTCTTCAAGCCTTGCTCCCGTTCGTCAGGCTTTCGGTGTCTTCCAGATAATGCACCGTTAGATTTCGAACCTTTGGTTTTTCAATCTTCGTGAAGGTAAGGCAAGTATAGCAAGCAAAGAAAGGCACTAGGGTGATGTTGCTGTCGGTATGCCGTCTTAACGGCGCTCCGACTGTCGGGTCTCCCGATACTCCTAAGCATGCGGGTATGCATCCGGGAAGCCTCTCCCTTGTATGCACTGGCCTTGACGCTCGCAGCACAGCCCATGGTGATCCGCGTTCGGCGGATCTGAAAAACAAGCTAGCTTTCTTCAAGCCAGCTGCGGCGGTTGAGGAGATGTTGGCAGGCCCAGCTGCACTGATTTCAGCTTCAGCGCCACAAGACTAGGGGGTATGATTCCTCAAGGTATGTCCAACCAAGCAAGCTCGTTCAAACAATCCCGAAAGCTGTGACTCCCAGATCCAGGGCTCCGGTTCACTGACAACCTTAAGGAATGAGTGAAACGCGGAACACCGAATCCTCCGAACTTGGCTGTTGGCAGTGGAACAGCATAGTAACATGTATACAGTCTGCTCAGCTTGCTGGACATACTATTGAACATCATAAGGGTCGCCTCGACAGCCACCGTACCGAGGAACACGGATCAAAGTACAGAAAGACAGCAGTGACCAAAAAAAATATGATGACGATGGTGATGACGATGGTGCTGGTGATGATGGTGCTGCTGATGATGATGTTGACGATGGCACTGGTGCCGGTGCTGGTGATGGTGATGATCATGGTGACGACGATGATGAAGAGGAAGCGGTGATGATGACGATGGTGCTGAAGAAAAGAAAACCTAGACACAACAGCGGGCATAGTCTTCATAGGGTATTGCGGACTATACTATACTAACAGCAACCGTAAGAAGGTACAAGCTGTAAGACAAAGGCTGCTACAAGCAAGTCTGCTGATGCTGGTCATAAGCTTGTATGCTCGTAACAACACTGATACTGATGAGTACAGCAGCCATAATCACAGTAATCCGAGGGCTACAAACATGCCAGGAGTGGCAGCCGGATCGCCGTGGCCTTCTCTGACTGCAACTGCGACACCTAATCAGCAAGCTCAGCGGAACCTCGAATGCTCAAAGAGAAGTGAAGCACCCAAAAGCGCCCTGACTGCAGTTGTCGTTGTTGCACTGCTTGTGCAAGGGACACCCTCCACACTCATAACCCCAAACCCTTCTCCCTCTTTGTTATTGTTCTACAGAACAATCGCAGTTCTCTAACACCCAAGGATCACACAGTTGAGGCTTTTCTGAGTACTCTCCAGCAGAACACTGTTGTCGTTGTCCATACTCTCATTAACATCACCACCGCAACGGCGACGACGACGACCACCACCACTTCACCACCACCACCACCACCACCACGAGCACCACCACCACCACCACCACCACCACCACCACCACCTTAACCACGACTACCACGACTACTACTCCTGCTGCTGCCGCTGCTTCTGCTGCTACTGCTGATGCCACTACTACTGATCCTGCTATTGCTACTACTATTCTAATCCTGCTTTTGCTCCTACTCCTACGCCTACTCCTACACTCCTACTCCTACTCCGACTCCTACTTCTACTGCTACTACTACTACTACTGCTGCTGCTGCTGCGACTACTACTACTACTACTACTACTACTACTACTACTACTACTACTACTACTACTACTATTACTACTGCTACTGCTACTACTGCTACTACTACGACTACCACTACCACTACCACTACTACTACTCGTGCGAGGTACTAGTTACGGTACTAGTACTAGTACTAGTACTGGTACTAGCACCAGTACCAGTACTAGTAGTCCTAGTCCTACTTCAACTCCTCCGACTCCTACTTCTACTAAGCCTACTCCTACGACTCCTGCTCCTCCACTAGGAGTATGATGGCTGTCAGTACCAGTCATAGTACTGTACGCCGAAGCTCCAAATTCAAGATCCATCTCTCAGCCGGGTAACTCGCTTTCGCAGGTCATGAGACTTGGCTCGCGACTCGTTGGCCTGCGTTGAGGGTTTAGATCTCGAGAGTGCTGGGCTGAGGGCTCCCGGGGTTGTAGTTCGTAAGCGAGCTTGATTTTCAGCACTAAAATAGGGAAAGCCTTCCACTTACTTTTTATATCCCTATCATGGCAATGTGGAAACAAGGGAGGCATCTGTCTCTTGCTGTTTGGGCTCTGGGGCGGTCCGCATGCTTGTCTTTCACACCCTTATCCTGATCCGCAACCTCGTCCTCACAGTCATGGTCTCGTTTATCATCGCCTCGGTCCTCGTCGCAATGGTCTTACTCCGCTTCATCATCAACGCCATCATTATGACCCCGATGGATAATACATAACCTTGAGATTCGTCTTTGATGTGCCCATGATCGCGATTCTCACCACATGCATGCCCCGGGAGCCTTCATCAAGGATCTCTTGCGCTCTGACAGAAGGCGATGCTGGTGCCTGGCAAGGGCAGCCTCTGGAGCGTGAAGCATCCCTCTCGTGGCATAAGCCGGTTCATAGGGCCCAAAAAAGCACATAAGCAAAAACTAGGGTAGGGATATCCCATATAAACCCCCTTTAAGGTAGGGGTATCCCTATAAAATGCTTATGCTTATGTCCTTTTGGGGGTCCTAAGTTTAGGGCTTAGGGCTGGGCGAACGGCATGTGCTTTGGAAGATTCAAACGGCTCGCTGCCGGCCTCTTGTGTTCCTCAGCTTGAGCTTGGAGCCTCCAGCCGGGTAATTCGGTCCCTTTAAGGGGATCTATAAGGGTACCTTTAAGGGGCTCCTTTAAGGGATCTATAGGGTTTAGGGTTGATGATATAAATCCCGCATTACCCATGATAAGAAATATACCATAGTTCCCATAGTTTCGGGCTATTTACCGTAATGCAGGATCTAGATCATCAACCGTTACGACTAGTTCGAACCGAGCTACAGGTGGTTCATGTCGTGCAACAGCCGTAGTCGTCGAAGTCATATTGTCGCGTTGTCAAATCCTGGAGCCATATAGTCGCAGAGTGAGACTGACATAGTCGTAGAGTCGTACAGTCGTAGTGTCATGGTCGTACAGTCGTATAGTCGAAAAGAGTAAGTACAGTCGTATAGTCGCAGTCGTCGTCAGTTGTAGTCGTCGCCGTTGTCGTACCCGTAGTCGTAGTCGCAGTCGTAGTAGTGGTCGACGTCGCCGTCGCGGTCGCAGTACTCCTACTACTACTACAACTACTACTACTACTACTACTACTACTACTACTACTACTACTAGACCTACTACTACTACTACTACTACTACTACTACTACTACTACTACTACTACTACTACTACTACTACTACTACTACTACTACTACTACTACTACTACTACTACTACTACTACTACTACTACTACTACTACTACTACTACTACTACTACTACTACTACTACTACTACTACTACTAGTACTAGTACTACTACTACTACTACTACTACTACTACTACTACTACTACTACTACGACTACTACCACTACTACCACTACCACTACCACTACCACTACGACTACTTGTCAGAATAGTTCCGGACATCAAGCTGCTGGGAGCAGATATCGACACGGGTCCTTGAGCTTCTGCACTATCCTGAATGCGGGGCTCCGAATACTATAGGGGCCTTAATAGTTAGAATAGGGTTCTGGGGTCCAGTATATACTATAATGAGGATAAGAGGGCCCTATACTACTTAAGCAAAGACGAACGGCAAGTTCAAGAATTCCTCGGCGCGAGTCTGGGGGCGGAGCGCTGCTTCCATCTTCTGCTGCTCAACCTTGAGAAGCTCTGCATGCACCTGGGCGCTGCAGCTCTTTGCATGTCTCGTTGATGATGGTTAAAAGCCGGGACAGAAGACTGCAAACGACAGCTGGGAGAAGTGAAAGTTGCAGTAAGTTGCAAACGCAAGACTGGGATCAGGCCTGAACTCCAGCCCCTGCTCGAATCGTGAATGCATCGCACGGTTTAGGGTTTAGGGGTTTAGGGGTTTTGGGTTACGCACCAAGCCCAAGTCCCCGAATCAGCCCTCTGATCTGCGACCTCGTCCGCCTGCTTGCGCCAGGTGATGCGATCGGAATCAAGCCTGGCATTGCGCTGTGCCGGCGGCGTTCAGGGTTTACAATAGTGCTGCCGGGTGTCGGTCTGGGACGCTGGAATTGGGGTATCACTGCTGCGGCTGCTACTGCTGCTGCTACTCCTGTTCCTACCACTACTCCTACCAGTCCCACTACCACTGCTGCTGCTGATACTGCTGCTTAATGCCGCTGCTACCACAACTACGGAAGATGACGGCTTCAAGTTGCGTTGTGAACGCAGACAGCGAGGACCCGCCAAGAGGGCGCGAAGAACGCAGAAGAATCACCCGAACTACGCTCAGCAGAAACCGAAACGCTAGTCTCGTCCAAAAGCTGTAGGGTTTAGGGCCCTAATAGCAACCTGTATAGTAACCTCGGAAACCCTTACTTCAATCCCGAACATGGCCTTTGCAGAAACACCTAAAAAGCCAAAGCCTTGCTACGCTGAAACCTAGCGGCCTGGCGAGCGTCTGGGCCAACTGCTCTTGAAGCTTTCGGCATTGCTGCTCCTTGGGGAACCCTATAAGGTAGGGTTTAGGCTGTTTTTTTTTTTGAGGGCCCTTTTCCTCCCTGCTACAGTCGGAATACCTATAGGGTTTAGGCTGTTGGGTTCAGGGTTTTGGGTGTTTTAGCCTCTTTGGGGTTTACAAGGATGTTAGGGTTTGCATGGCTTAGGGCTCCTGTAAATTGCTCCCATCCTAGAAGGCTACAATCCGGGTGAGCATGAGCAGGTTACGGCTTGCGGCTGCTTCTACTCCTCTGTTTTCTGCTTGTTGCCTTCCTCCACTTCTACATTCTACATAGGTTTCTATTGCGCTTGTGCTTTTTTCCAACCTGTATCTCCACCTCTTCATTGACATCTGCTTACCACGACGACGACGACGACCATGACCACTACCACCCACTACCACTACCACTTCTGCTTCCACTCCCACTGCCAATGCCATTGCCACTGCCAGTACCAGTACCACTGCCACGACGACTGATGGCACTAGTACTAACCCTACAAGTGCTGCTGCCCCATTCCTACAATGATGTTGACTACGACTGCGACTACTAGAAATGAAACAATGAAGAAGCGTAGCAAAGTGCGACTGTCGACATTAGTACAACAGCAGCAGCAGCAAGCTGCACAG